CTTTTTGTCACTCTGTCTAATAAAAAAAAATCAAAACCCTGAAATTAAAATCCCAAATGCGTAAACAGCCCCCCCACCCCATCATTGCCGTTTCGTCAAAAAAAAAGAGTGAAAAGACTCATCAGATGGTGCCCGATCCACTGCCAAACGTCACCCTTTCAGTTCTACACCGTGAATCGATTTCTTTTGGGCCTATCTTCGCCATCAGCATCGTTGGTTCATGAAAAACCGTAACTTAACCAATGCCAAACTGACCAATAAAAAAATCGAAAGCAAAAGATTCAAAACTGAAGTTTTAAACCATACCCATAAAAGAAAAGAAAGGGAAAAAGGAAAAAAAAAAAGTCAAATTCTGAAAAAAAGCATCTCGACGGCAAGGAAATTGAAAAAAAACTCAAAATACCCTCTACAAAAAACAAAAAAAGGTAATACTAAGGTACGCAAAAAGTGGGAAAAAAATATGTTTCTTGGTTTGTGTGACCCCTTATATGATCCACCTGGAAAAACTGATCAAAAGTGGAACTGTAAAAAATTGGGGTCACGAAGCTGTACTGCTTTTTCTGGGATAGTTTTTCCCATTTTTTGTCAGGAAATATTTAAATTTGAATCTACAACGTTGATTTAGAAAGTTTTAAAATTTTTCTATTTTTTTTATAATTTTTATCTCAAATAGGGACTCAGACTGATTAAAAAAGCCTAAATATAGTTTTGTACTATGTTTTCATAAAAGTTAAAGATTATTTTTTCTTTTAAATTTAGTGACTGAATTTTTTATATCTAAATTGCCAAATGTTAAATATGTTCAAATTTTTACTTTCCCGCCCTTTTTTATTATGATTATAGTTTATCTGTCAGAACTTACCCTTTACCCTAGACTTACCCTTTTTGGGGGCCCAAGGGGGTTACCCCTTTTTTGGCTCATATGGGGCAAACGGGTTTTTTTGGAAAAGGGTTTGTATTGTTTTTTATAAATTAATATTTGATAAAATATTTTCAATATTTTTTTTTTCAAGTTCGATAAATCCCTATCTTTTAAAATAAATCCAGCTAATTCCTAAAAGATTTAACACTTTTTTTTTTCTTTTGTTTTTACTTACCCTTTTAGGCCCCCTTCCCCCAGATTTTGTACTAACGACGTGATTGAAGTGATATTAAAAGGAAATTTTAGTGTCCGGCATTTTTGAATCAGTTTGTTTATTAGTTGATATTATACCTGCCACCCCTTATAAGCGTTGGAAACCGAATATGCTTTAATTTTTTGAGAGTGCGATGAATCAAACGCTGCAAGCAGAGTTACGTGAAAGTTCGAAAGCTGAAAGATATCCGGATTATCGGTGTTTTTTATGTGCATCAGCATTTTTGTGAAGGTCATTTACCAACAACCGAGAAAGCGGGCAGACTTAGGTCAAATGCAAACAAGGGTCTGAAGAGATTGAAAACCCTAATATTCGTCCGTCCATAGAGGAATCTACGGAATCCAAAAAGTACCACCCATTTTCTGAAACGTGACTACCCTTCCCCTACCCCCGGGGGACATCATTAGGAAAAAGTCCCGTTACTATGATTAGGAAAACCGAGGATCAAGAATTGTTAGTAGGTTTTATGGTCAGACAAAAACAACCTGTAAAAAAAAATGGTTTTTAAAAATCTTCACAATTTCACATTTGGAGCGGGGAAACCCGCATTTAAATTTCGGAAAAAATTTCCCAGTATCGTTCAAGATAAATTTCGGGAGGGGCATATTAAATGGTCAGATTTGGGTCCTTTGAATTCCCAAAATTTTTTGAATGGCGCAACTTATTTAATTTTCTGCAAAATATTTTTCCAATCTCTTAGGGTTCCCTTTTAAAACGTACTAAGAGATATTGGTACCAAAATTGGTTGCCCAGCCACTACCCCGTCCGTAAAAATTTTTTTGAACCTAAAAGCGTCGATGGATCGGTCGTCTAGGCCATTGCAGGGCCCCCCCGTTCGCCGGTTTAAATCCACGGGATTTTTTTTACTGGGTTACCTGAAGAAAATTGAAAAACTGCGTCAAAAATCTGGGGGCTGCAGAAGAATAAACAGACGGGGAACAAACTCTTAAAAAATCTTTTTAAGGTTTGATGGAGTGTAGAGTGTAATGGTTAAAAATTTGAATTTTTAATTTTAGTACGAAATAATACTAATTTCTCATTACACTTTCTTAAAAACCTCAAAACCCTTTTTTAACTGGGTAATTTTTCAAAAAAAAACTGAATACCCCTTTTTGGTCTTGATAAGAGAATTTTTAAAATTTTTGAAAGTGTTGTCATGCTTGCACCTTTTTAAAATTTGTGATGATTGCGCTAATTTTTTTGTATTAACGCTATAGTCATTTCATACTTTTTTTTACACTAGCATTAAAAAGTTGTTTAAAAAAGTTAAAAATATTCAAAAATTTCAAAAAAAATTGTTTTTTTTTTTTTATATAAAAACTACAATTAAGGTTTTTTTTTGGACTGCAGAAAAATAGTTTTTTACTTAGGTAGCTAATCAAACAAAATGTGGGATGTTCACATTTGTAACCACGTATCAAATCAGGGGGTGTGGGTTAAAATTAAAACTTTTTTTCAAAAAGTTAATGTCTTTAAAAAAAAATCGGGTTTTTTTTTTTTATTTTTCCATGGGTAGTTTTTAAACCCGACCATACACCGGTACCGGCTTATCGTTAAATTTTTGGGGGACCTTGTAAATAATTATTACCTTTTATTTTTTTTTTTTTTTTCCCAAAAGGCTTAACACTAGGTTTCTTTACTTAAAAATTCTTTAGTCTTTTAACTACCGGAGCTACAATCAAAAGAAAAATCTGCACTGGGCCCGCTAAAATTATAAATATGTAGATACATGTATGAACAATTCACCTGACTGCAATAAATCGAAAATTTAAACCAATAAGAAATCTTTTCATTTCTTTGATTTTTTTGTAAAGAAATAATACAGTAATTGTATTTTATTTTGAGGTGTATAGAGCTTAGACTTGAATGCATCAAAATATTTAAATCAACAAGTCATCTACAATAAGTTAAAATAGACCATAATGGTAGAAGAATACAGTTGTAAATAAAATAGAATGCATCAACATTGCATCGCCCAACAGTCGTATACCTCGTAAGAGTAATATTGTTCTGTGGTCTATACCGAGAACCGAGAATTATCTTGTACCTATGTACCTACCGCTAAGCTTTGAGCCCGTGACTGGTTGATTTCTGTTAAAAACGAACAGTTGTTAAATGATATTTTGATATAATAACGGTAATTTAATTTATCGAGTGAAAGTGATACATTTTTATAGATAAATTCATTGGTCAGATAATATTTGTCAATCAAGAATCGCCGATAATACATCCTTAGCTAGAACGCGGGAGGGAAGGGGCGAAGGAGTACTTCATTGTTTGCAATTTGCATCTAGTGCACTAACCTTGACCCTTAGGCAGATAATATACATCTTATAAAGTGCGTGTGCGCTTCCGCTTTCTATTTTTGCAAATATTTATCCTATTCTTGAGAGTTCTTCAATAAGTGTGTACCGAATTACTAGTAATGGGCATTAATGCTAATTAGATTAAATTTAAGTAATTGCGAATTCTTGTCTTAGGATGTTAATTAGGTACTGATGCTAATATTGAAATTTCGTTAGTGGTGAACAAATTAAAAACGATCCTACCTACAAGTTATGATCGTTACCTATATCACTTATATTAATTACCTATATCACTTATTATTAATATATACCTATATCACTTATTATTAATTTTACATAAATAATTTATTTTATTATAATTTAACTCACCACGATTTTGTGATCAAATATTTTATTTTCTCCAACATTATTACAGAAATAATGCAATACAGAGTTTGTTCGCGATATGCTAGCCTTAGTCGATTCATCACTTAAAAAAATCCCAATCTATTCACAAAATACCTATTTACAACGCATACGTTACACTCTTCAAAACTTAAATTACCTATACCTACCCTAAGTACGAATGTTCCGATACCATCAAAGGATGGTATCGGAACATTCGTATACCGATACCTAATCACATCAGTAGTACTCAAATCATTTTTCGATACCCCTCATACAAATACTCCTAATGTATCGATACTTTTAGATTTTTTTAAATAAAACGAATGTAGCAATGATGATGTAAAGAACAATAATTTTGTGAGGGCAAAAATTAAAAGTAAAGTAAGTTTATTTACTTAACAAAGTTTTTTTTTATGGATTAGGGGTCAAACGAGCAGACGGGTCACCTGATGGAAAGCGACTACCGCCGCCCATGAATGCCTGCAACTCATGAGTTTTGGAATGCCTGAATAAATTAGACGAATTACCACAATAATTCACCGGCTTAAAACATTATTTACATTTTGCAATTGTTTCGTTTATTTTGGTAAAATGATAATCTATATATATATAAAAGAAAGTCGTGTTAGTTACACTATTTATAACTCAAGAACGGCTTTTATCGATCTGGCTGAAAATTGGCGGGGAAATTGCTTAGAGCCAGGCGAACGGACATAGGATACTATTTATTCCGTTCGACACTGTTTTTTTTTTTTTTGTTTTTTACGAACTTTGCTTTACTCGGAGATGCCACGTTATTATACTTGGAATGCCGAATTTTCAAAGACGGAAGCAAGGCGATGCGGTTCCTGGGTATCCGGATGTGCGTGCGTCGTATGTACACGGTTCATCCAAAGAATGATGAATGTTTCTATTTGCGGTTGTTGCTGGTAAATGTGCGTGGGCCAACGTCATTTGAGACACTACGGACTGTTAATGGTGTAATATTCCCAACATATCGTGCTGCATGTGAAGAACTGAACTTATTAGAAAACGATACCCATTGGGATACGACAATCGCTGAAGCATTATCTCTGCATCTCCAAGTCAGATACGCACATTATTCGCTATCATAACTTGGACATGCTTTCCATCAAACCCATGTAACCTGTGGCACAAATATAAGGATAATATGTCAGAAGATATTTTACATCAAATTCGTATCACTTCCAGAAATCACGATGTTGAGATGAATGAGGAGATACATAATCGTGCTTTACTCTTGATCGAAGATATGTGTTACCTCATGTGTGGTAGTTTATTAATCAGGTTAAGAATGCCTTCGCCCAATCGTGAAATGAATGACGCATTTAATCGAGAATTGGAACGGGAACGTGAATATGATCACCAGGAATTAGATTTAGTACCTAGTTCAAACGAATGTACCCCTGTTGAATTCCCAACAAAAGGAAGTTTATGATACTTTAATGAGGCAATCGATGATGGAAATGGTGGTTTATATTTCCTAGATGCCCCTGGTGGAACAGGTAAGACATTCCTCATGTCAGTAGTTTAAGCCACTGTTCGGGCGAGATCCAACATAGCGGTTGCAGTTGCTTCTTCTGGAATAGCAGCCACATTGTTAGAAGGATACCGTACGGCTCATTCAGCATTAAAATTACCGTTAAATCTTCAAACTATTGAAGAACCAACGTGTAATATTACGAAAAATTCAGCAATGGCCAAAGTTTCATCGGCATCGAAAATCATCATCTGGGACGAATGCACAATGGCGCATAAACGTGCATTAGAAGCACTTAACCGAACATTGAAAGATTTACGGAATGACTCGAGATGTTTTTGGAGGAGCAATGATTTTACTGTCTGGCGATTTCCGCCAAACACTGCAGGTAATTCCAAGATCTACGGCTGCCGACGAAATAAACGCTTGCCTCAAAATCGTCGAATCTATGGCGCTATGTGAAGAAACTGCAGCTGACAACAAACATGAGTGTTGCATTGCTTAATGATACATCTGCTGAAGATTTCGCTGAGCAATTACTGACTATCGGTAATGATCAAGTACCTGTCGATGAATCGAGCGGATTGATATCATTTCCAAATAATTTCTGTAATTTTGTCTCATGAAAAGACGAACTTATCAACAATGTATTTAACGACATTATTTCTAACTACAAAAATAATGAATGGTTGAGTGAGCGAGCAATTTTAGCGGCTAAGAATAAAGATGTAGACGACCTGAACTATATAATTCAAAATAAGATCATTGAAACAATGCATTCATTCAAATCTATTGACTGCGTCACAAATGAAGATGAAGCCACCAACTATCCAATTGAATTTTTAAACTCCTTGGATGTGCCTGGCTTACCACCGCAAAATTTACGCCTAAAGGTTGGCTCCGTAGTAATCATGCTTCGAAACATAAACCACCAAAACTGTGCAACGGTACGCGTTTGGTGGTTAAAAAATTGATGAAAAATGTAATTTACGCGACGATATTGAAAGGAAAATTCAAAGGTAAGGAAGTTCTCATTTCGACGATCCCCATGATCCCAACCGATTTGCCGTTTGAATTTAAAAGACTTCAATTTCCGATCCGTCTTGCATTTTCCATGACCATCAACAAATCACAAGGCCAATCCTTAAAAGTTTGTGGTTTGAATCTAGAACATCCATGTTTTTCCCATGGTCAATTGACTGCACGGATGGCGTAGTGGTTTAAGCGGTCGCCACGCCGCTTCCTACTGCGCCGAGTGTTGTGGGTTCAAACCCTACATGGAACGACACTTTGTGTGATCCACAAATTGTTGTTCTGAGTCTGGGTGTTCTTTGTGTCCGTTCATATATGTTTGTAAAGTCCCCCGTGACACAGGAATGTATTCCTATTGCGGGAGTTGTCTTTTTTTTTTAAAAAAAAAAGAAAAAAAAAAAAAATTATATGTGGCATGTTCACGGGTCGGAAGACCATCTGCTTTGTTTTGCGCCTGATAAGAAAACAAAAAATGTCGTGTATCACAAGGTACTTAAGTGAAGAGCAACCTATGTACTGAAATGCAGAAACAATATTAAATGATTGATGTACTTCATTTTTTTTTTTAATTAATTAACTTACTAAATTCGAAAATCGGCTTATTTATTGCCTTTAAGGCGGAACAGAGTTCGCCGGGTCAGCTAGTAGGTAATATTTGGTAATCCGAGAACAAGAATAAGAAAAGTCTCTCTTTATAAAATCTTAAATCATTTCACAGATTTGTATCTTCTTTGTCGGTGTCATAATTCCAAAAGTCAATTACTCGTAATTTCTTCTGCTTTTCATATATTTCGTCTTTATTTTCTTTTGTGTAATTTTCATTACTACTCTTACCCATAATAAATTTTTCAGTCTGTTTGATAATTATTACTAATTTGTTTTTTATTAGCAAGATTTTCCTTATTAATGTAAAAATTTATATTTTCCCAATCAGTCAAATTTATAGCCGCTAGTATTTTAACCTTTGGTGAGTACGGTCTATTTGGCATATATCTTCGAATCTGATTGATGGTTCAGAACGAGTAATTGAAAAATCTGGGTTGCTTATTTCTTTAGGAGTTCGGGTGTTGTATTCTCATCAATAAAACTCTGAAACTGGCTAGAATTGACGTCATCATAAAAAGTATTCCTTTTCATGATGACGTCAATTCTAGCCAGTTTCCAATATGTTTATTTCCATAGTATCCAATATGTTTGCCGTGAATGCTACTTGCATTCACGGCAAACATATTGGATACTATGGATATGGATACTTTTTTGTCACACAGAAAACAACTTAATTTTCTTAAAGTAATTTTAGAACATCCAAATGCCTAAAGAGCTTAGTGTACCATCAATGTACCTTTGGCATCTTTTAAGTTTGTTGGAAAATTTCTTGTTTCAATGTCATATCTTGATACAATACGTATCTCAATCTTTACTCTAGGTATAAGACAGGCTAGAAATGTTTCTAAGGAGTTCACGTCACTGCCAAAACGAAGTACTTGATCTGCTGTTCTTTTGAGAACAGCACCTACTCCGTCTGGTGCTCCTTTTCCATGTCCAGCTTCAAAGAAGTTCCAGGTCACAGATTTTAGTTGCGGAAAATCGCGATACAGCTGGCTGATCATATAAAAAATTAAAACGATTTCGATATTGACTTATTGGACTGTCGGAATCTGGCTTGAAAGCTCCATCACATACGCAATAGTCGGTATCAAATGTGCCCAGACAGCTGCTGCATCGTGTTGGGTACATTCACTTACAGTGCAAAAGCTATATTGTTTTTGAATGCCAACTTCTGGATCTATCAAATAGATAACACATGTGTGCAATGATAACTGCATCCTACTCCGACCACAATGAAAACTCTGCATTTTCTCGTTATATTTTACGCAGTAGTTCTCACTAAAGTCAATATGAATCACTGCTTCTTATGGATTAAGATTACTTTTAAGCTCTTTAATATTTCTGTACTGAGTTAAAATATTAGTGCAGTGTTTCATATAGCCAACGAGAGAGTTTTTAAATTTTGAAATATAATATTTCGTTTTGTCAACAAATCAACATTAACGTGAACTTTGCAAGCACACATATTTCTGCTTGATTCCTTTGGGTATAAAACCCTAAATGGGACGATATTTACAAAAGGTTTGATGCGTTACCTTGACATTTGAATTATGCATAAACTTCTTGTAAAGATTAGTCAATGTGTCTGTTAAGTATCTTTTCTTATTTTGTTTCTAGTAATGTATTCTCTTATATCAGCTGCAATTATAGTTACTGAGTAATCATCGAAAAACTCCAAAATTAATTGCTCTGTTAAGTTCTCACTCTTATGTGTTTGCGTCAAGAGCTTATATTTTTAATTTTTTTCTTTTTCAGTCACTACCACATTAGAAAACTCTTTTTTATCTTTTTTTTTTCAAACACGTATACTCTTTTTGAACACTACTTCTAAGAATTTCGCTAAACATTAGTTTCTTTTTAATTTCTTCACGTTTTTCAATGCCTTCATTTGTACCAAATATTAAATTTTTTCTTCAGTCGTTTATATTTGCATTTTTTTTCTCATTTTTCATTACTCTATAAAACATTTTTCTAATGGCGTCTCTGTTTTTTCATTTTTTCTATATCTTGTTTCAAAAATGCCGATTTCTTTTTTATGTCGGTAGCGAAGCTTTCTTAGAAGGACATTCTTTTTTAGGCACTGTTGACAAGAGTTATGGTTACCGGAACCCAAACAATTTAAGGAAGAACTTGGTAATGGGCTTACAGTTGGTCTAGCGAGAGGATCTTGTTTTCGCTGAGATTACTTCAATGTCACTATTTAATGGAGTTTTTTTTTTTTGTTTTGTTTTATAAATTCTCTAGTAATAGCTGTTGTATAACTTTTTCTTTCTTTTTCCTTTCGTAGTGACGTTTCGAATTAACTCTTCATGTTTTTCTTTGGACTCTTAATTGTCCTCGGTGTCATATCTGCTGCGCTCTTTATATTTTCCGTTCTTTTCTTTTAAGATACCTTACTCGTTCTTTTGCTTTCTCTTTTGCATACTTTTCGGGGTCTTACTTTATTTCTGCATATTTACTTTTTTTTGTAGTCGATCTCGCTCTCGTTTCTGCTTCCAATGTTTGTTTGGTTTTCTTTGGCATCCTTAGCGATCTATATAAGTAATGTTTTATTTGCTTTATTTATTTTTATTATGCTTTATTTTTTTAATTATAATAATTGTATTTTTTTGCTTAGCCAGTTATCGTCACAGTTGGCAAACATAATTTTGCAAAAAGAAAATAGCCATTAAAATGAACTACATAAAATACATTCTAATTGACATCGTCTTAATTTCATTACCATCGCTCAAAAAAACGACGGTAAACGAAGGCACTGAGAAAGAATGTAATGAGGTTTTGAATACTTTATCCATAGGTTCCCAAAAAATATCAAAATAACGGACCTAATGCATATTTTAAACGACAAAGGTATCTATTAAAATTTAAAATTAGCTGCACACTGAATAAAATCATAAATACTCACTTAATAGTGTGGACGATAGGAAAGAGTACGATTCCAGAATAATCACCTCCCGCAAAAACTCTAAACGAAAATATATTTTTTCCACGAACAAGCATGCACCTGCTACGATGTTTGCCAGTCAAATGAGAGATGTGCGCGGGGTATGGTAACAGCAAAGAAGCATTTAAGGTCAAACCCAGACTGCAATTAACACTTTCTTACGAACCGATGGTTATCAGAAAAAAAATGTGCTAAACATATATAAATAAAATTTCATTGTATTATTGAGTTAATATTAATTATTTTAAGTTCAAACGTTGCTCTTGTTAATACAGTTTCTTAAAATTATTACTTTGTTAAGGTTTGATATTTATATTTTAGATTTAAATACAATTTTAATAGGGAGAATAGCAAGTGGACACCGAAGTAAATGAGATTTAGCAAAGTTTTTTACGTATAACTCATTAAATAAGCTATGTGGAACAGTAAATGTTACATGCATATAAGCACAATTTTATAACATATGATTTGATTTAAAAGAATCATAGATATTTATTGAAAAAAATTAAGATTTTTGCAATGGACGCCTAATTTGCACGAAAAATGAGAAACACCCATTAGCATTAGTAATTAACATCCTAAGACAAGAATTCGCAATTACTTAAATTGAATCTAATTAGCATTAATTCCCATTACTAGTAATTAGGTACACACATATTGAAGAACTCCCAAGAATACGATAAATATTTGCAAAAATAGAAAGCGGAAGCGCACACGCACTTTACAAGACGTATATTATCTGCCTAAGGGTCAAGTTTAGTGCACTATATGCAAATTGCAAACAATGAAGTATCCCTTCGCCCCTCCCCTCCCGCGTTCTAGCTAAGGATGTATTATCGGCGATTCTTGATTGACAAATATTATCTGACCAATAATTTTATCTATAAAAATGTATCACTTTCACTCGATAAATTAAATTACCGTTATTATATCAAATTATCATTCAACAACTGTTCGTTTTTAACATAGGTATAGATAATTCTCGGTTCTCGGTATAGACCACAGAACAATATTACCTACTCTTACGAGGTAAGTATACGACTGTTGGGCGATGCAATGTTGATGCATTCTAATTTACAACTGTATTCTTCTACTATTATGGTCTATTTTAACTAATTGTAGATGACTTGTTGCTTTAAATATTTTGATGCATTCAAGTCTAAGCTCTATATACCTCAAAATAAAATACAATTACTTCAGTGTTATTTCTTTACAAAAAAAATCGAAGAAATGAAACGATTTCTTATTGGTTTAAATTTTCGATTTATTGCATTCAGGTGAATCGTTCATACATGTATCTACATATTTATAATTTTAGCGGGCCAGTGCAGATTTTCTGTTGATTGTAGCTCCGGTAGTTAAACAGACTAAAGAAATTTTAAGTAAAGAAACTAGTGCTTAAGATCAGTTAGGAAAAAAAACAAAATAAATAATAGGTAATAATAATGAATAAATATTGAATGTATTTAACACTGTACGCAACTGTACCGAAATCGTAAGGTGTATTACACTAAACATTTTAAAAGACAGCGCAATGTACTGGGTGATCTCTTTTTTGTAACCACCTAAACATGATCGGGTTACCACGGACTTGCACCTTCTAATGACTTTTATTTAACTATCTCGTAAAT